ATAGTATTCGGTAACCTCTGCTTGGGAGATAAAAATCGGCCGATTTTATTTTTTAGCCGGAAATCATCGGTCGTTTCTTAGGCGCAGGGCCTCTTAATGTTCTTGCAGGAAAAGGAATCAAACACCCAGCAAGCACATAAGCAGATATCCATTTTAAAGTTTTGATTAGGTTGTATCGGGTCAGTACCTCTGGTATTCCAGTTAACACGACCTCACTGAGAAGCAGATTTTCGTTAAATACCATTCACCAAATGGTGCTCATGTGGATGGCTTCTTTGAAAAATTTAAGCAAATTTAAGTCAATGGTTGCATTTGGTAACGAAAGTTGTATGTTGTGAGAGTGAGACACTTTTTCTCCAGCCATTCCCAGCCAACCAGCCCACCATCAACCTGTCCAACCATACAACCAGCCAACTGACCAACCAACCAGCCCATCCTTCAGCCACACCACCAACAAACAAACAAACAAACAAACAAACAAACAAACAAACAAACAAACGAGAGAAGTGAGATAAATTCTGAATGCGCTCAATATATATTTCCAACCTAAAGTTTGCCATTCCTTTTCAGGTTTTTAAACCAATAAGTGTTGACATTTATTTTAAATATTTAAAATTTCTAGAAATGTTTGGATCATTAAAACTTTGATGTCACCAAGTGGAAGCATATGCTCCTGAGAAAACATCTTATATGATAACTTAATATTTATTCACTTCAGGCGCAATTTGTGGTGGAAATCGCCATGGCCTTTTTGGAATCATCCAGTCCCCCAAATTCCCTGACACTTACCCAGACAATCTACACTGCGAATGGAACATCACCGTCCCTACAGGTCACCGGGTTAGAATCCGCTTCACAGTGATCGATGTGGAATACTTCTACATGTGTGATTACGACTGGATCTCTTTGCGCTCTGGCAACAGCACCCTTGGAAAATTTTGCGGCTCTAGCAAGACGAACAGAACGCATCATAAAAAGCTTCCCAGAGAATACTCAGTGTCACCAACCAATCAAGTCACCCTCACATTTCACACGGATTACTCCAACGAGGAACCCTATAGCGGTTTCAGGGCACATTACATTGCTGTCGGTAAGCCACTTGATAACATTTCATCCAACCATCCATCCACCCATCTATGTTCGTCCTCCCTCCCTCCCTCCCTCCCTCCCTCCCTTCCTTCCTTCCTTCCTTCCTTNTTGTTTGTTTGTGTAGTCTATATATTATATAAATATACTTTTTGTTCAATCTCGTTGATTTGAATGTCCGCTCTGTCTGCTAAATGGTAAGGGATTTCTTTTCCCTTGGGGCCTATATTAGCTGAGTTTTTTGGCCAGCCTCAAAAATGATCCATATATTAGTCAAGGGTCGTTTTAGAAGAGTTTCGGCTTTCGTAATTGTTAAGACTGCTTTGTACTGTCAAAGCTGTACAATGAGTTTCAAGAAAATTCCACGTTATATTGGAGAAAAGCAGCGTTTTATAACTCAGGTTCAACAACAAAGACGTTTTTATACAAGTATTGTACGGGTAACAAACGCGTTTCAGTGTGTATCGGGCCGTAATGATTTATATCTTTCTGGGAAAGACTTAGTAGCTTTATAAAGCGTGTGCAAAAACAAATTAGTTTCAGCAGTGTTGTTGTTGTTTTTTGCTGTTGTTTTGTATTTTAATAAATTCCTTGTAGCACTGTGCTTAAGTCTGTTATAAAGCCTGTGAACAGGCTGCTTGGTGATCGAATCAAGAAAAGAACAGGCCACGAGCCGAAAACTGTGAGCGAAGAGACAGAGACAGAGAGGGTGGGAGGAGTTTAAAATATCTTCGAAGACTCGGGGACAGTTAGTCGTGGCCATACGACTTTAACCAACAGACAAAATGTCCATGTCGAAGGATTACAAGCATCGCCTACACTGATTTTGCCATTCAGTTTTTTTCGTCTAGCCCCAACTGAATTACCTCCTCCTTACAGTTAGGTTCCATCCCTTCCCTTTCTCTTCCCAGTCCCCCTACTTCGCTCGCAGGCCTTCCCTTTCTCACCTGAGAGCTGAACACAGGCCATTATCAAGAACGGTGAGGGTACTTTTTAACCCTGTTCAGTTTGAAAGGAATTTTTTCCAAATATGTAACTGACTTATTTCTTTAACAAAATTTTTCTTTGATACAGTTATTTTTACCTTTTTTTTCCGTTTTTGGGCTTTCAGCATTTTTGTTTTTAATCCAACATGGCGGATTAAGATGGCGGCTGTTCGGATAACATGACGTTATCACGTGATATGGCGTGTCCATTCCATATTTTCAACGCGAGAGAAAAGATTTTTGAGTTTCATTATCATTATGCATGCTTTCCCACGATCGCAGAAGATCAAGGTAAATCCCTGTCTAAACAGGGTTGATAACTCCCGGCATAGTCGATCGAACGTTCGCAGATCGAACTCAGTCCGTGGATTAGGTTCGATTGAGTTCAGCAATCAATTGAAATCGAACACCGGACTTTGTGAAAGTTCGATTTCCGAACCAATCGAAGTCAATCAAACAAATCAAAACCAATCTAACTCAATCGATTAGATCGAGTTCGGCAACCGAAATGGTTATCCCTTTCCTCTTTGTGACCAACAATTGCCTTGTCTTAAGCTCTTGGTCTTCCAAAATTTTTAAGTCGAAAGGGGACACAATCGGAACTAAAATTTGTGTGTCACTTTGGCCATTGAAATATTGTATAAATATTACGGAGCTTGGGACGATGTCTTCAAAAGATCCCACAGCATAACAATCTTTTGGAATTAAATAATTGTTATATAATATTATGCAAGGAGTAAGAGAAAATAAGAGAGCTGCATTCTGTTACGGAATGAACAAATTATGGTTCGCTTGGAAAACTACCAGTAAATAAGGCACACAGTGTTTTGTAAGAATTCACGTTGTATTGACGTAAACTGCCGTGAAATTTTCTACAATAATATTTACAATATCAGCCCACAGTTCTGGCTCAGTGTTAAAAGTAAACACAGTTGCTTTTCTGTAGTTCACAGACACATCTGCATAAGCAACAAATACATTTCGCTTACAAACTTATTAAACTCATTAAGTAGTATATACCTTGTCACATAATTGAGTACTGTACCAAGTGTTCAGCCAAGATAAACCTTTGCAACGACCAAGAGTATGTTACTTCTGTGGCAACCATATAACTGTAACACTAGACGGTTATATAAACTGAGAGCATCTAAACTTACGTTTGAGTAAGCGCGGCAACTTGGCTTAATAAATATGGACTATATTTATGTGCTTTTAATTCACTATGATCTGGTACTTTATGAAATGCTCAAGGAATTGGGCCCTACGATTGCCAGTTCGAGTTCATCGCCAGAAAGCAAGTACCTTATTTTACCCACCTCACGTTACGCACGTCACGCGTCACGCGTTTGCTTGATTGAATATACTGCATCCAGTAAGTCAGAAGTTTGAGCACGCAATTTCTTGGACATTGTATAAAGGAACTAATAAACTAAGTCCTTCTTATAACTTTGAGCCAAGTAAGCATTTGTCGTGATGTTTGAGAACACTTGCTATGTTCTCCTTACACTCATATCTTGTTTTAAAAACGTTTCGCGCGCTCACATAACTCACCAAATTCGCCACTTTAAAAACAAAAAGAAATCTGGGGCGAGTATCATCTCGCAGGGGCTTTTGTATCGTCACTGGGGACAATAAGCAACTGCGGCATGAGACTTGCCCAAGATTTCTTCCCGTGGCCAATGCATGCGTTGTGATNGGCAACTTGGCTTAATAAATATGGACTATATTTATGTGCTTTTAATTCACTATGATCTGGTACTTTATGATCTTATAACTTTGAGCCAAGTAAGCATTTGTCGTGATGTTTGAGAACACTTGCTATGTTCTCCTTACACTCATATCTTGTTTTAAAAACGTTTCGCGCGCTCACATAACTCACCAAATTCGCCACTTTAAAAACAAAAAGAAATCTGGGGCGAGTATCATCTCGCAGGGGCTTTTGTATCGTCACTGGGGACAATAAGCAACTGCGGCATGAGACTTGCCCAAGATTTCTTCCCGTGGCCAATGCATGCGTTGTGATATTTCTTTAACAACCCCCTTTAAACAACACACGTTATTAAAGTTGATCCGGCCAGCAAAACAAAACCGTTTTTCTTGGGCTTACTTTTTCTTCCTCGACAATAATACTTTAACTGATTAGTACTGAATGTTACCGGAATAATTTAGATGAACTTTTTTCCACTACAATTGGGGCCTTTCTAAAAGCGCCCCCCATTTCCTTTCAATACTCAGTCTCAAACGTTACCCTCACCTTCAAAAAGAGAGCTCGTACCAAGTGTGTTAATCAGCAGAGCGGCAGTGTGTGTTGCTACTAGTTAGGATTCGAGATCACTACTGACGCTGATACAAATTCAATTTAGGCAGGAGGTACGTGTGCCACTAGGTTTTGCACCTCCCTCGAGGAGTTATGTAGTCTGAATAAGTCAACTCGAGCATGGAGTCGACAGCTAGGTGGATTGACGAAGAAGAAACATTTGTTCCCTTGAATAACATTGAAGGAAGTGTAACTACAAGTCAGAGTATTGTTAAGGTCAGAAAACTGACTGCTACTACATACATGTATATTACAACACGTTCGTCTCTCTTGAAGGCAGAAATAGTTTTACTGAATGTCGGGGCTGAATGTAAGACGGCATCTTACTTGCAGATGCTAACCTCAACCCGCCTCGGGCACTGGCTACACTTGACGTAACAGCACCAGTAGAACTTGCAGTCACAACGCTCAGATCTGGGTTCCACTTTGGTGGTGTACCCTCGATTGCAGCACATTAATTCACATCCATCTATAGCTTGAGAAGTGCGATTACAAAACCTTCCCTGGGTCCCCAGGGAGCCAGTATTGGGATTTGCCGCACAAAAATCCGGCGACCCATCAATGTACACCAAGTCCGCAATGGTGTGTGGCTTGTACTTAGGATTTTTGGGAACTAGAACCATTCTTGATCCAATAAGTTTGACCTCCACTTCGGTAGCTCCGTCGAATTTTTCCTTGATGTGATCTCCTACCAGTCTGAAATTCGGTAGTGAACGCCAGCAGGTTTTAACGTTACATGACCCTGACACACCATGGCATTTGCACTGAAGTTTCATGAACTGTTTAATGGCCTGTTGAAATTGTGATGCACAAACAAACAAAACTATATGAGAGAAAATGTAATTTGTAATTGATGATTGAGGCAAATGCGAATAGACTAACTACGATTATTTCTGCAATTACTTCTGCGATTCAATTAATAAAAGCACAACAAATAAAAACTAATTGTCAAATTAAGTTACTATTTGACTGACTGTCTGGCTGTCTGACTGACTGACTGACTGACTGACTACTAACTTACTAACTGACTGACTGACCGACCGACCGACTGACTGTCTGTCTGTCTGTCTGTCTGACTGACTGACTGACTGACTGACTGACTGACAGAGGATCTGAAATAGACTGTTTTCGTTTGGAAAATGAAATGAAAATTTATTTAGTTCTAACAATTAGTAAATCAGAACACTCTCTTCTTCCTCTCCCCTGAAGCGCTTAAGGCGAAGAAGAGACTGATTAAACTGACTGATTAAACTGATTAAACTGATTAAAGTCTGTACAATCTGTTTATGTTACTGACGACTTACCAACCTACCATACTCGCTCTCAAATTTCGGAAATACGAAAAGTTAAATTCAAAGCACGTAAAGAACTGTTCAGTACAACTCACCCTTCTCCCTGCGCCGTTGTTATGTAAATTCATCAGAACTCGAGCAGGATTCTCCTCTTTTCGTCCACGTTCTCTTGCATCCACAAATTTCTTGGAAAAATCGATGCCATATTGGATATCATCACTACAACCCGCCCACTTGAATCCCTCGTCAGACATTCCATTGTAGTTCTGGTCACAGCCACATTTTCGTCCCAGTTTTCCCTCGCTGCATGAGCGCGTCACAGCATATGCTACACCGGCTGACGAAATGGAATGAACAAATGCAGCTTCCCTGGTTCCTACAGGGAAAAAAAAGCACACATATAACGGAAATCTGGATCATTTGACTTGCCAAAGGTTTGATTTTTCTTCATCTTTCGGGAGTAGCAGTGAACATTAAAATCAATCTGTAGTAACCGTTAATTAGAATTCGAACAATTGAATTTTGAGATCGGAAGCTAAAGGGGATTGAAGCTGTCCCTCACCTCCGTTTGCAGAATTTCCAAAGACAGGGGATTTCTCAAACTGCACGGTAGTACAGTTCCATCTCCTGTAACGAAACTGATGCTGACACTCCTCCACTGCAATGGAAGCTCCAAACTTCACACTGTTCATGACGTCAATGTACCTCTTACAGACTTGAACCTGTCTGTTGTTCAGATGTGCGCCGACTTCATCGCAGCTTCCTTTAGTATTGAAGCTGTTTACAGAGCTGCTGAGTGCTAGAGATCTGTGAATATTAACAGATAGATACATCATGCATATTATATAATCGCAGACTTGTTGCAAATGGCAATTTGCATATATATATATATACTTCTTGAACTTGAACAGAATAAATTTATAGAGCGCTCGACTCTGAGAGGAGCAGTGTAGATAATAAACAATGGTAGCAAGACT